GATAGATAGATAGATAGATAGATAGATAGATAGATAGATAGATAGATAGATAGATAGATAGATAGATAGATAATGATTGATGATAAATAAATTAGATAATTAGATATAGATGATAGATAATTAAATTATATTTAGTACGATATGTAGGTAGAAATTATGCTCAAAGACCTGAAAACTGAATTAAAATAAAAAGAGAAGAAAATCACATAGTGTGATCCACACTAAATGATTTCAAAATAATAAGTGTTAAATCTCAAATATATTTTGAATAGTCCTATGCAATAAATGAGTAACCAGAAGACAAAAAATTCACAATACTATTGGCAAATAACTTCCATCACAATTCTCATAGAATACTGCATTGTGTTTTGGCTGAATATTAAATGTTCTCCATAAATTGGAGAATCAGTTCATAATTCAATGCTAAAGCAGAGAGAAAATTCCACTGAAATCTTAGTTCATTAGTTCTAGATAGATATGCACACTGTAGAACTACTGTGAACCAAGAAATCACCCATTCAAAGTTGGTATATCACTTGAATTCAACACATGCTTTATTACATACATTATATGATGTTTCTTAATCCACCTTGTACCTACAAAAATACCTGCTGACTTACCCTGCAATGGAAAAAGAGGTAGCTACAAAGAAGAAAGACATGCTGAGTTGCAATGGAGCTTGGTTTCAAATAAATATCGATAGATGAGATGCTTTGAGGGATTCCTAGAACAAACCATACCAGCCACAATTCTTATGGTTTCTCTTTATTGTTTGATATATTGATGAATCACATTCTATGTTAAAGATAAATTTTCTGATATACATTTGTCATTGTATTTACCACAATTACATCACACATACATTTGAAACAGCTCCACAAACCTGGTAGTTGCACAGAAATGTTTTCTTGTATATGATTTATTCTTATCCATAATAGCTGTCAAATCCAACAATTTTAATTCTTTTTGTTTTTAAGAATAGGAATAAAAGTAACTCAATCCTCAATAACTGATGCTAAGTCTCTGATCTCAGCTGCAGGTCAGCTACAGATGTTTACTCAAAATGGGACATGCTGGTACTGGAAATGAGCTGATATGGAAGTGTTAAAGCAGTTCTTACAGATTGTTTTAATATACAGCTGTAAACGTTACAGTTTGCTAGGCTCAGGGATGGTCATCAGAGCCATTTCAATTTGCTCCTCAAACAAATTTAGCATCAAGCCGTACATGTACTCCAGTGATCCAGCATAATGATCCCAAGCAACTGGATGGACATTTATATTATTTTTAAACAATACTGAGTTGCATAAAACCTGCAAAAATACTACCATGGAATCTCTCCTTGTTTCCGAACAGAGGATTTTTACTCTCTTTATAAAGATTAAATGTATGTAGATTATAAAGTGAAGAAGACAGGGAAATATTCCAAATACTTTTTTCTCTGATAATATCTAAATAATACAAAATATATAGGGTTTCTTCATTTATTTAAAAAGTCTGTTGGGTAAGCCTCTGATCTGGAAACTCGCTTATGTTTGTCGAGTGTAACTTCACTAAAATAACAGACATTTCTCTTTTATGGGGATGCATCTTTTGGCTATGTAAATGTTCTGTGGGGGGGGGGGGGTTATTTATTTATTTTTGTTCTCCTCCCTCCAGTGCAACCAATCTAGCCCATCTTTTAGTCTTCTGAATTGGTTCTAAAAGCTTCAATGAGGCCTTCTAAAGAGTGAATGAAGCCTGACACACTGCATATACCGCCTATTACAAAAATGGCCACATCAAAGAAGACGTGGTGCCACAAGAGTTTCCTCCATAATAGCTTCAGGTGGAAAAGGCTGGGAAGGAGGAAACAGAGGCCTGCCCCTGTGAGGCTTCCTGTGAGGCCCATCAGGAGGGCAAAATGGGGGACATAAATGGCCATCAGCAAGGTGAACACCACAAGAGCACACCTAAGGGTGAGTCCCCAGGCTTTCAGCCTCCCGTCACCCCCATAGCAATTAGGAAAGCAAGCCCTGGTTCCTTCTTGGAAGAGAGATTTCTCCAAGACCTCCACAGCTGCAAAGAAAGGCAAAGGATAGGAGAGCAAAGCCTTGGCTACCAAGAAAAGGTTAACGACAGCTCTAATGGTGGATGGCAAGTTGTCTGTAATGACTTCTTTTGTATCGTCAGCCCAAGTCAGGTAGGCTACCAAGGCAAAGAGCCCCTTCAGGATGCAAGCGGCTATGTGAGTCCAGTTCATCATGCAGTGGAACTCCTTTGGATTGTGCATGTTCCCTTCCAAGGAAGGCAGAAAGATCTGAGAGGTGTAGCTGAAGACAATGATGCCAATTGAGATGGGGAACTTCTTCACATCAATGTAAAACTTGACTTTATCCCATGCCCAGTCCCGGGCTCTGGAGAGGCAGTAGGCAATCACTAAAATGTTGATCACAAAATGAGCCAAGGTGCAGAGTAAACTGAATTTGGAAACAGCTTTGAGGTTCTTCAAGAAAGCACAAGGCAGAAGCGCTGCTGTCGCAATGATGGACCATGATTTCTGGGACACTGGCAAGTTTGGGAAGCTGTTGTACATCAGGTTACCACTGACCACTACATACAGGATGCAGGTCATGACCAGTTCTATGATCTGGGCCACATTTACAATCCTGCCCCCGAGACTAGGAAACCTAGGAGTGCAGCAAGCATTGGCAATATCCACATAGGAGTCTCTCACCCTGACTATCTCTCCGTCTTCATTCTCTTCATAGAGACAGGCAATGAGGATTTTCCCAGTGTAGCAGCAAACCACTGCTGCAAAAATGATTAAAAAGAGTCCTAGGTATCCACCGTGAAGGATAGCATAGGGCAGGCCAAGAACAAACATCCCCTAGAAAGACAGAAAATGGATATTGTATTGCTCAGATTGATTTGTGAGGGAGCAGTTACTCTCCCAGAAAATGCACAAATGGAGATTATAAGAACCTAATTTTTTTTTAATTCCATGCTTAATTCCAAAATTAAAACGTATAAAAATAGGAAGGATAGGCTTCATTTTTCTGCACAGACATGTTCTCAAAAATATTACTTTCATCAATTCTCATGTAGCTAGGAAGCACGGTAACAGGGGCAGATCCTCTCTCCTTGAAAGAATTGGTTTGGTTTTTCTTTTAAAAAAAAGAATTTAAAGCTCAAAATGCATACATTTTGAAACTACAAAACTTTTTGGGATTCCAGGGCAATTTAAAAATAAATAAAATCATCATAATAAAACCAGTACTTCTTAAAACTGTGGATGCAAAAGTTAAAACACTTTTTTAAAAAATCAATTTAAGTAATACAAAGAGTTTGGTCCTAGATCATCCTACAAATGCTTGACAAAAAAGGCATCTGTTCAATAGCTTTGTAAAAAAAAAATAGTACGCTATAGGAGTCAACCACACTTCCTTGTGAAATGTATGTCTTTGACCACATACCTAAATCACCCAAAACAATAACTGTAAACTCACTAAAATTACCCTGACTTATTTTGGTTGTAATGCCTCTGATTTAGATACAAAAATGCAGTGTGATGAACAGGTTGCTATTAAATCAAATTGTACATGCTACTGCTGTTCACTGGGATAGAAGCCATTTTTATCATCTAAAAATAATTCACTTAAAGGATTAAAACTGAATACATAGACTAAATTGTTTTATAAAGTAATCATATGCATATCTACTAAGAAGTAGTTCTCACTGAGTTCACTACAGCTTATTTTCAAATGAATAGGGACAGAATTTCAAACTATACCCTTTGCAGTTATATAGAGGTTATTTTTGCAGAAAGTTAGAACTTATAATTTAAGACAGCTAGAAATGCCACCAAAAAAGGCTAATTAGTGAAAATAAGATTGACTGTTGCATTTGTTTGCATGTTTAAGTTAGATATTAATCACTGTCCAATAGTTTGGGTGGAGGGAACAGCAGAAATATTATGGAAATTTGCTTTCAGATCTTCACTAGTGAATAAAAAATGATTTTGACTATAGAAATGCTATTCAATTTCCCTAAAAGTTCATTTCCTGATTAGTACTTTCTTTCAGGTCTGAACAATATTGGATTGAAAGGAGCAAATCTTTTCTAGGTGCAATTTTGTTATGGTACATCTTATTACTGTGTGTAGACAATACCAGCAAATTATAAAATAACTGGGATTATACAATCAGGTTTTGCAGATTAAGCATCTACAAAACAAAACAATGCAAGGAGGGAAGGGGTTGTTTCGCTCTTTTGAAATTTTCCAAATGCCTCCATCTAAAGCAAAAATAAAATAAAACATCTATGGGAGAATGGCTGTCTCATTTGGACCATGTGCTGCTTTGAGCATAGTAAAACAAACTCAGGCATAGATACAGATGAAACTGGAAGGATTAGATAGAGCGAATGTAGAATGCACAATTTAACGGCAATTTTTTAAAAAACAATTGCCATCCCATCATCATTAACACAGATCGAAATTGCCACAATAGAGGTAAGTCTGGCTAGATTTGGGGGAGGAGACAAAGATAGGGGAGGGAGCAAGTGCAACAACGCTTGGAACGTGTTGATTCGTGTTCTTGAATTAGAAAGTGATTTTTTTTTTTAACCTTTCTCGAACGTGCAGTTACTTGAAACTGGGTAGACAGCCATTTACATAGTTGGGCAGTGGATGGGATAAAGATGTCCTTCTGGGGGCACCTTCTGTTTCTAACATCCAAGGTGATGAACATCAGGGACCCTACTCTAGATGAGTGAACCCCTACTGTCCCTCAGACAATCTGGATCCCTTGGAAACTGAGGCCAAGGAAAGTCCCCATTAAACTCAGGATTTCACCCAACGGAAAAAGGGAAATGGAGTTTTGAAGGTTACCTGGATGGCATTGGTGACATTCCAGCCGGCTTCCCAGGCGGTGATCCTGGGCTTCCCTTGAGTGGACAGCTCGGAGCACACGCCATCGTCCTTGGAAGTGGAGGGAGGCAGGGGTCCCGTGCCGTCCCTCTGGTAGTGGGTATCTCCTTCCAAGGGCGGCTCACCTCCTTCCTCGCTGCCCTCGGACTTCAGGATGTCCATCTGCAGTCCCTGCCGGTGCTCGTAGTCCAGGTCATCGCAGTGAACAAACCCCACCGCTTCTTCGTCGGTCGCTGCCTGGAAGCCCATGCGGGCAAACATGCCGCTGACCTTCGCCTGGGACTTGTTGGAAACCGAGGTGGCCACGTTGGAGATCTTGCTGCGAATTAGCGTCGCCATGATGCTCGCCCGGGCTGCCTCGCTTGTAAGTGGGGACGGGTGTTAGAGGCACCGGCCAAAGGCTCGGGAAGCGGGTAGCGGGTGGAAAGGGGCCGAAGCCGACAAAGCTACTGTGGTGCCAGACCCGCTTGGCACGCCAGTCCTGCCGCTGCTGCTGCTGCTGCTGCTCCGGCGGTTGAGGGCGAGCCTTAGAAGGGCGCTATCTCCACTCTCGCCTGGCACTGGACCTTCGCCTCTGCAGAGTCGCTTGGACCATGACCTCGGCACCTGCAGGGGCAGCTCTCGCCTTTTGCCTGGGGCATAGGCTCTTCAGAGGGCGCGACAGGTGTGGGCTGGAAGCGGCTGGAATGCCTACCTCGCCGCCGGCAGGCAGCTCAGCTCCTCTGCCCAGACGTCCTTCCACCTTCTCTCCGGCTTCTCCCCTTTTTCGGAGTCGAGAGACGGGCGGGTTGTCTCTCCAGCCTCGGCGGTGCCAATGCAATGCAGAGAAACCTGGAGGGGAGGGGAGGGGAGGGGAGGGGAGGGGGTGAGAAGCGAGAGGGGGGACGCGCAGCGGTCACCAGATTGCCACGCAAGGCTTCGGCTGTGCGCGGCACGTCTCGGTCCCCACGCGTCGAACTAGCAGAAGGAAAGAGGAGGGGAGGGGAAACGGGATCGGGGGGTGGGGTTGGGGTGGGGTGGGGTGGGAGGAAGGGAGCCTGAGGAAAGGTTTGCTGCATTTCTGGGGGAGGTCCCCACCAAAATCTACTTCTCTCCTCCCCCTCCCCCAAGAGCAACACCCACGCCTGAGACAAACTGCAGAGGGAAAGGAAGCGGGGCACCAGTTGGCATCTTCATGCATCTTTTCCTTTCCAGCCGCGGTTTGCAGAACGTAGCCAAACCCAGCTTTGATATAAAAATCGGGGGCGGGGGGACGGACACGCATGTTATCCGCAATCGCCCCCACATCAATTATTATCTGGCTGGGAAATGACCCTTTTCTCGCCCACCGCCCTCTGTGTTCGTTCGGTTCAATTCTCCTAAGAATTGTGTCTCTATTGGGAGAACCTAAATATTATTAGCCTGCCCAGGATGAAGAGAAAAGTGCGGGGAATGATGCCAGCAAGGCAGGCCTAGAAAAAATGGAGGTGTTGTAATGGACTCCTTGGATTATCTATTGGCAGTAGGGTGAGAGCTAAGTAAGTTTAGGGTAAGCCCCAAATCGGAAGGAGCCTGGAAACACCGTTTCAGACTGCAGTAATCCGTTTGATTACAAGCTTTAATGAAATATATCAGCCTAGCCTCAAAATTTGTTTCCAGAACTCTGATTTTTGGCTACAGCAGAGGGGTACTACATCAGATTTGTCCGGTTTTAAGGCTATAACGGGAAATACTCGTGTGCGACGGTTTTGCTTCGAATTCTGTTTACATGGCTAAGCGAATTGCTGCGATGCTCCACCAACTGCGTACCGCATTTCTCTTTCTCTCTCTCTCTTGTCTTTAGAATTTATGTACGGCGTTATCCATTTTCTTTACTACCTGCGGTTTAATATCGTCATATTTTTAGACGGAAGAGTGACTCTTTTAATTTTAGCCAACCTTTAAGACAGCACCTGGCTCGATAAAATACTGCAGCAAGAAATAGGGTGTTGCGGCTGCGTGGGCGGAGATGGGGGGGGCTGGCAGGTGTTGCGAAATTGAAATTGAAAGCACCTTCGGCCCTTTCAGCCAACTCGCGGCTCTTTTGATTGGTTGCTTATCCTTCTTCCCAATCACTCCCCTTTTATTAATAGGAAATTAAATCTTCTTATAATAGGATCGCGCCCTCCTCCATTCTGATGATAGTTTTCTCAAAATACTGAAACGTGTGTTTTGGAAAGAAATCGGATTCAATTTCAGAGGACAGGTTTTGATTGTGCGTTTGGAACAAAAGAAAGGCAAAGGAGAAAAGAAACAATTGTTCGTCACATTTCTCCCGATCTATCTATCATCTATCTATCTATCTATCTATCTATCTATCTATCTATCTATAATCGTGAGAAACTGTAGACCGGAGTTATTACGAATAAAAGTTGCAATGTGCAAGAGTGGAAGATGGACTAGAGATGACGGAGTTTTCGTTCTTCCCCGCTCTATCGTTGATTCCCCCCCCCCCCTTTATTCTATTGATAAATAGTTGTGTGCTGGTCCTGAGAACTCAAGGGATTTATTCGACTTATGCATTAATCAACGTCTCTGAATCTTTTGAAGTAAGCTGGTATAAAATGCCATATAAACTAATAAAATGTTTCACTTTATTAAATACTTTTTGAGTAAATATATATGCCTGAAAGGAATCATAAAAAATTATGTCATTGTCTGCGTCATCTTGGCTGAGTTTTTAAGTAGTAAGATTCAAAATAGTCGCTATTATTCAGAAACAGGTTCCTGGTTTTGAGAAAGATTCAAAGGTTACACCAGGCTGGACAGCCCGTTCTATTTCTGCATTAACCATATGAGCCAGCTGGGTGATTTTAGTTGTCTCTCTCTCTCTCCCTCTCTCTTCCCTCTCCCTCCAACCCACCTCACAGGGTTGTTGTGGGGAAAAGAGGAAGAGAAAGGACTATTATATATGTTCGCTGTCTTGAGTTATTTATAAAGTAATAAAAGTAGAATAAAAATAAATCTTTGTTTTCTAAAGGTACTTGTTGGAGTTACATAAAGATTTATACAGCCGCAGTTACACTCGGCTGGAATTTACAAGTAATGTAAGGTAATGTTTCCATTTTAAAAATAGCCGCCTCGGCATCCCTTTAATTAGAAAAGAGCGAAAGGGAAAAGAGATGCAGCCGCAGTTTAGCCAAAACTACCTCCAGCTTTGCTTTGAAGAAGGAATTATCACATATCGTTGCACAAATAGGTCGGGGAAGAAAAGCGCAGGCGGGTCCCCCCCCCTTCCGCTCCATATTTAGAAATGGCCAGCAGGCATGTGAACCAAAGGAACAGTCAAACTGCATCCAAATTTTAATTCTCATTGTGAAATGACAGTGCCGCATCCTCACGCATGCACGCACCTCCGTTGCACCGAACCTAAGGAAAAATATTCTTAACATTGGTCACATTTCTAAAACAAAACCAAAGTGCATCCTGGCATCCGTTTCATTAGGAAGCTCCATTTATAAGTATTAATTTAAGTGGTTTTAATTGTCAGCAGTCCTACTTTTAAATTTTAAATATTTTTTAAAGAAATACACAACTGAACAATTGTAAGGAAGAACATTGCCTTTCTCAGACAAATTTTAATTTAGATGGGCATATAGAACTGGATAGCCCGTTCTTAGATTGTTTTTTTAAAAAAAAAACTAACCAAAAAAAGAATAGCCTTCTTCTCTTTCTTCCCTTCTGTCCTCCCACACCAAAGAAAGTAAAATTAGGTATATTTCCTGTTAAAACCAAAACGCAGTAGACATGTTCATCACAGGTTTTACATATGATTGTAACCCCAACTGAGGAAACATGTATTACTTATTATACTGTGTACTTAAAATCTGTTGTGTTTTGCAAAATGATATGAAAGAACGGTTCAGAATAAATAGCATCCTACTTCTAGCTCCCAGACAATTGGTATGACCAGGAAAGGTCAAAGGCAGTTTCTCCCCCGCCCTAAATCCCCCCGAATTCTAAATGGGGAAGCCCCATTGTCTTCATTAGGTATTCTTTGTTAGATGACGTCGGTGCTCCCAATTCGATCCCCTCTCTGGCGTTTATCCCTCCCATGTTCCTTTCTTTGCTGAGACAGCCTTTCTAGTTCAGAAACAAACGAGCAGCCCGCAGCCATCTTATTCCACTCCCTTCTCTTCTCTTAGGTTGGTCATTTCCCCTCAAAATTCTTATTTCAGTAGTTGGGTTATTTGACTCCGAAATTTTCTCGAGCTGTCCGCGCTAGAAGCAGAAGCGCTGTTGAGGAAAAGGGCTTTCTATTCTTTGCCCTAGCGAGTCCATATGGCTAAACTGAAATGGCGCGAGGTTTTCCCTCTAAAATGGTTATTTTACTTGACAGTAAAGGAAAGGCTCGGGACCCGACCGCTGGCTTAAAAGTTTCAGAAACTTTTCATCCTAAAAATGACCCAAGCGGTCATTTGACCTATTTTGGTCGTCTTCCAAACGTTTATCGCGATGCAGTCAATACGGGCATTTGTGTTTGTATAACGCACCGGATATGGTCAGTTTCAAATTTAGCAGGGGCTTTCGCACAACCGGTTAGTTTTTACCCGCGTTAGCTTTTTTTTTTTTTTTTTGGTTAGGTAGGATTTTTAGTTCAATATATTGTGCAAACCCTGAAGACCAGTTAATGCACCAGCCAGGTTAAGCCTAATGTATAAATGCGGCCATTAAGTGCCCTCATTAATTCACAGGCATTATCAATCTTTTTCTCTGCTTTGACTCAATTTCGTCCTTGAAAAAGACAGCGAGGGGAGGGAGGGCAAGCTTTCAGACGCTATTTGGAGAGTGGGACCAATTTGGCTTCCAATTGAAATAATTGACTTTCCCTACGCGTTTCGGTTGTAAATGTAAATAGCACCCGTACAACTCCCACCTAAACTTGATTCAGATTAATTTATCCGGCAAAGACATCTTTCTCTCCTCTTCCCAACGGCCTGAGGTGCATTTAAAAGTTTAAAAAAAAGAAAGAAAGAAATCGATTAGAAGGGGATTCATCCCGAACCGCATAGTTAAAAGTTCTGTAGAGATTCTCAGTGATCCAGGTCCTGGTTGTCCCAAAGGTGCTTTTTTTTTTCAGGAGGCCACTGGACTTTCTTGTTTTGTTTTTTTCCTTTGAAGACGTTTCGCTTCTCATCCAAGAAGTTTCTTCAGCTCTGACTGGATGGTGGGGAATGGAAGGATTAATATTCCTTACAAATAAAATGTCTTCAAAGAAAAAGAAAAAAAAGGAAAAAAAAAGTCCAGGTGTTGCCTCCTGAAAAAGCACCTTTGGGATTAGAAGGGGTTAAACTCCTCATTTCCTTTGTGGGGAGCTTTGGATAG